AATGTACAAAGTGTAAGGTGTGTGTATCAATAAAAATATTTATATTATATTGTTCAAGAGGGTTATATTTTGTTGGAACAATATATGTTCCTATCTAGTTCCAATGTTCTTTTAAAATTATTTCTAATTTTTGTACTCTATGTTATTTAAATAAGCTCATAAATAAGAAGTAATAAAGTGGTAGTTGTTATAGTTTATTGAAATAAGGGTTTTTGGAATAACAAAAATTAAGTCAATTGTGTACTGTTTAACAGTGGTTATGCCCAATACATTTTCAATACATCATATTGTTTCTTCCCCAAAAATCTACTCATATAACATTTTATCTCCATTACTTATCGTAACTCAATTACTATTCAGGTGTGTATCTCTACTTTAATTTAATCAGGGACTGATTAAATATGCACTTTTGCACTGCATTAACTGTTGAAATATTAACTTGATGTTAGTTGCACATAGTAAGACTTGAAAAATATTCTTTGTATGCAATTTAACTTTAAAGTCACTAAAGTAATATATGCATTTTTTTTTTTTTATAACAAAAAGAAAAATATTTCTTTGTTTACAATATGTTTACTTTTCTTGTAATGTAATTTAAAATAGTATTATTTTATAGACCTGTTCCTTAGGTTTAAAAATTCATTGGATTATATAAATCAACTGATTATTGTTAATGTAATGGCAAAAGCTACTAACCGCCCAAAATAGTGATCTGTTTTATTTATTTTTTGTTACATCTAAATGATATTAGAAATAAAGTGATATTGTAAACATAAAAATAAAGTTTAATGACTTAGCTAATGAATGTTAAGTACAAAATATTGAATCATTTGGTTTCTTAACATGGTATGTTTTACCATGGGCAATTCCTTGAAATGTTTTTAAATAATAGTGATCATTTAAGAGAATTTTCATTTAATTACGTATTATATTTTTTTTCTAAATTCTCGAATAAGCAATAAAATTCAATATTAGTGTCAGTTATTATGTTTCTATAGATATTATAATTGATTTTTACTGCCTTTAACTTTCAAGATTACTTATAATCCTTCAAACTCTTAGTGCATATGTTTATAACTGACTAGAAGAGGTCATGGGGAATAAAAGCATCCAAAAACATATGTTCACAGCAGCATGGGTTCTAATCTTCTATTTATTTAGTGAGTCCCACAAACATCCAGGCATATAAATACATAATTTCAAAGTTCTATATCTTTATTGTTTTTGGGCTCACATACACACAGAAATCTTTTGGCAAGACATGTTTTGAGCTCCTCTAAGTCCAAATAACTAAGTCCTGCAAAATGCTCTGTATGCCTGTATGTTAACATTCTAGCTAAAAAAAAACAGTCGTAGGAAACTGATATTACGTATTTCAGGTTTGTATATGGTTCAGATGTGACAGCAACTTTTTCCTTAAAATCGGCTAACCGGAAGTGCCACTGTATATCCAAGCTGAAACACATTTTTACAATTTTCTCAAAAACGGCTCTTAACGATTTTTATTAAACTCGATGTATCATTTTATAATTAAGTGGTCTTTAATATTATTAAGGTCTTATCTCCACTTTACATGGCTTAAATGCCCAATGTTCATATGCGTGTTCCTCTAAACTACTTTTAATATGGTTTATTTTAAATAATTAACTATTTCTCATTATTAATAGTTACAAAAAAATGCTAAATATAACTTTTGAGAGAATTTGATAATTGAATAAAAGAGAAAAATAAATAAAAATGCTTATCCACGTCAAAAATGAATCACCGGAAATACTGTTCTGAATGTATACATATAGTATATCGTTGGAAAGCCGAGAATTTTAGAAAACACAATATCGAATATAGAAAGTTGTAGAAGGTAAAGGAGAATGGCAAAAAAATTATAAATAATAATTTGTGAAAACTAATATTATTTAACAGAAATCACATGTTTTCAAGGAAATTAAATGAAATTTAGTAACTAAATGTAAACTTGTTTTAAGTTTGAAAAAAATATTTAAAATCCATCTAATCAAGGCAATGACATTGTTTAAAAAACTATTTTATTGTACTTGTGTGAAAGAGGATGTGAAATATAAAAATATTTCATGGATCTATTAAGCGCTTATGTTTATAAGCTTAATACATTTACTGTAGTTTAATAATTCTTGATCTGATATTGTATTTAAATAACTAGGTATCAACGTCCGTTTATTCCAAAAAATCATCATGTATCTTTTAAAAAATTAAATTAGTGAACAATTTGATGAAATTTTCCTGAGGAAATTCCAACATTATCATGCCTTCCTCTAAAGTACTTTTAATATGGTTTATTATGAATAATTAACTATTTCTCATTGTTAAGATTTATGAAAAAATGCTAAATATAACTTTTGAAAGAATTTGATAATTGAATAAACTAGAAAAAAATGAAAATGAATATCCGAAATAATAGTTATTAGGTATATGTATAATATATCGGAAAGCAGTGAACTTAAAGAAAAAAAACTATATAACATAGAAAGTTGTAGTAGGTAACAGAGAGTGGCAAAAAAAATATAAATAATAATTTCTAAAAACTAACATTATTTAATGCAAACCACGTTTTAAAGGAAATTAAATGAAATTTTCTTACTAAACGTATAGTTTTAATTTATTTTTTAAAATAACCGGAATCATGGCTATGGCATTGTTTAAGATACAATTTATTGTACTTGTGTGAAAGAAGAAGTTAAGTATAAAAATATTCATGGACATGTTTATAATCTTGAATATATTTACTGTAGTTTAATAACTCTAGATCTGATATTATATTTAAATAATTAGGTATCTATGGTCCATTAATTCCGAAAAATCATCATGTAACCTTTTAAAAAAAATAAATTAGTGTTATTTACATTTGCATCATAGTTCGATGAATTTTCCCTTTGTAATGTCCTAACAGTATCCACTTGGAATTGGTGTGATAACTTTTTACCTGTCTATGACAGGGAATGCAAATCTCGTAATAACATTTTAGTAACTTTTACAATGGAAAATAACAGTTTAATTACAATCTGTAATCAACTGGTGATAAAATAAATAGGAGTTTTGTTATTTTAATGGTATTTGTGATTTGTTAGCTGTAAACTTTAGGCCGATCAGCCACCGAAAGCGCAGCAGAGCTGAGCTGAGTCAGGTTCCAAAACTGTACTATAAGTTTTCAATGACAGGCCGCCCACCAGAAGTGGAGCTGAACATAGTAAGGATCAGCTCAGCTCAGCTTTGGCTTGACCGAAGTTCGGTTTTGGAAGCTGACTCCGCTATGTTCAGCTTTCTCCACCACACCTACTCACCACTGTCCCACAATTGTGGAGCTTTGTGTTCATCAGTGTCATATTTATTTCCCACTTGTTTTCACTGCACAACCCCTCGTATTATTTTGTTCTGGTTCAACGTAAAATATGCAATGGATGTGAAGGAATTCCTAATTGATTGTGTAAGGGAAAACATTTTTCTTTTCAAAACCGACATGATCAACTCGACTAATTTCTAAAAATGTTATTCGCTTGTTTTCACTGCACAACCTCTCAAATTTTTTATTTTGGTTCAATGTAAAATATACAATAAATGTGGAAGAATTCTTAAATAGAATTAAATGTGTAAGAGAAAATATTCAGTTTTATACACAAATATTTTATTTTTATTTTCAGCTCAGACAAAAAAAAAAAAAAAAATAGAATCCTCACAGCTCCTTACTTTGTTACAAACAAAATCATCCATAACTACCTTAATGTTCCTTATGTTTCTGACCTGGCCCAATCCAAATACCTATCCTGAACTTCAGAACCGTCCTAACCCTCTCGTTTCTAACCTTGCTTCCTTTTCCATCCCTGACAACCCTCCGAGACGTCTGAAAAGAAGATGGCCTCGAGATCTCCTTTTGTAAATACATTTTTAGAGTGCTACCAGTGGGTAGTTACTCAACAAGTGATTTCATGCTATTATATTCTTTTGTTCATATTTACTGAATGTATTTTTACTTGTAATACAGTTGTAAATATCATCAATAAAAAAAAAAATGTTATCCGCTCGTTTTCACTGTGCAACCTCTCAAATTTATTTTGGTTCAGTGTAAAATATGCAATGAAAGTGGGAGAATTCTTAATCGAATGTGTAAGGGAATATATTTGATTTTTCTTTTCAACTCCGACATGATCAACTTTGCTATTTTTTTAAAATGTTATACGGAATATGAGAAGGATACCGATCCAAGGCAATTTGCTGACTGAGCTGAGCTCTGCTACACAATCACAACTCAGCTCAGCTGCACTTTCGGTGGCCGGTCAGCCTTAAGCTAAGCTCTAACTCAGTTAAAAATGCAATTCAAAAATGTTATAATAATCCAACATGGCCAGAAAATAATTTCTATTCAAAGTTGAGCGGTGAATGAAAGTTGTGCGTTGCATCAGATTTTTATTATACATTTCAATTTTATGAAAAACCTGTCTTTATTTACGAGTTAAATTAACTAGACTAATTTAGAAAATGCAGCCCTAATCCTAAAATTTAGAGGAGTTCATTGGGATATCCCTAATCCTGATCTCTACAATGCTAATATTTGGTTTTAATTTAATTAAACTTTTATCAGGAGAAATGGATATCTGCCTATATTAACCTGGAAAGTTGCATCATACAGGTTCTTTTTCTAAATTAGGTGAACAATTTCATTAGTTATTTCTTTAAAGAACTAAGACAACTGAGGTATTCGGTTGTAAAATTAAATATTTTTTTGTGAATTGAAGTTTTTGACAACAGTGGATTCTTAATGACTGATTTTAGAGACCATTGATATAATCTGTGGAGAATTTGTTTTTTTAAAAGAATAATGTTGGTATTAAGATATAGTGACTGTTTTTTAAAGATAAAATATTGTAATTAACAAAAAAACTTTTATTGTAAACGTTTTTGTTGTATTAATTACCATGATTTACTACAGACTACCTCATATATTAAATGAAGGATGATAAATAAATTTAATTAACCAAAATTGTAAATGTTTATTTTTAAAAGTGGATAAGATACACATATAATTGAAAATGAAATGAATGGAATAGAAGCTCTAGTCCTTCCTAAGCTCAAATGAATCTTCTCTGATCCCATCCTTTGTTATTATGTTAATTGATATTCTGTCACCAGTAAAAATATCTCTTTCAGCAGCTGATATAAAGACATCTTTTACAATTGCATGGGCTTTTTCCAAAGTGTATGTTTTGTCTTGAACATTTTCTTGATTCAACATACCAAGCTAAAAACATTAAATCAAATAATTACTTAATTTTTTATACACTGAAGAATATTTTTAAAAAAATCTTACAAATATTTCTACAATCTGCTATCTACAAATAGTTCATTGCCCATTGTATGAGGCCATGAGTTGTCCAGTAAAAACAATAGTATTTTATTATTAATGTTTTCAAAGGTTCTATATATATAATATCATATAGTATCTACTATTATGATATATTTACACATACATTTATATAGTGTACAAATATATCACAAATATTCTACCTATAGTGAGTACAGTACTGTACAAATGTACCTTGCCCAGTGGGTCAAAATATCTTGTTCACAATATAAATGGAATCCTGAGAATGGCTTATTGTATCCAAACTTGATGGAAGCGACTCAACCTTCTGATAATGTCCGACCTCCACTGATAAGGACACCCTGTAGATTTGATCATAACTTAAGTTAAGCAAGAGTCGAAAGCAGTGATGTAATTAAAGCTAATTAACATCCCAATTTAAATTGAAAAGAACACCTGGGAGTTTACCAAAGTCGTAAATTGATATCTAAATGAAGAGATGTTATACTGTGAACATTTCAATCTTGCCTATTCTCAGAATACATTTATACAAAGATCAAAAAATCTTGGCACACTTGAGGAGGTGGAGTGATATCTGTAGAGTGGTAAATTTTTTATTTAACCAATATTAGTATACTGATTGAATAATATTACTATCACATAGATATAAATCAAAAGTTGGTACTAGTTCACTGCATGGATTACAATCACTTCGTCTCACACTTGTTCATGAAAAACCGAAAACAGTCAAATGTTGCCAAATGTTATGATGTCAGCTCTTGTTCCAACCACCCGTTTTCCTTCATATATCATCGCTCATTATCGGCATAGAACTTTCTTAACGAATGATTCATTTATAAATTGATTAATTATCATTCTTTTTATAACAATAATTACTCTGTAAGAAAAATAAAGAAAATATATAAAATAATGTTTGAGTGGTTCTTCAAGGACTGTTAAAAAAAAGTCTTTAAAAATAAATTTTTTATTGGCATCGTGGTTATATGTAGCTTATATATGGGAATACTATGGTTTATTATATTTTATAACTGTATATAGAAAATTTTATTAATATTTTAAATAATAAAATATTTAAAGATATCCATCATCTTATAACTCGTTATTGGAATAAAAGATTTTTTCGAATATCTGAAAATTCCAAGATACTGAATAATGGAAATCATCAATAAGAAAAATAAATATCGTGAAATAGGATTCAGTGATATCATAATTAAAAGTTTTTATCTATTACTATTTCTTTTCCACAGCTGTATAATATATGTATTACACTATTACTATGAATTAAAGTAACGTGATATAACCTAAATGTCGAATATAAGTCAAGCTCATGCGTTGTGTAACTCTAGATGGATAAGGATATAAAAGTACTTTAATGGCAGGAAAGTTATTAGCAACTAAACTAATAGATTGTCGCCTTCATACTCTTTCAGATAAAACCGGATGCATTCAGAACTCCACGAACAATCATGACTGAACTGATTGTGAACCACGCATAATCCGTGTGAAACTCAGGTGAACTAGTAACTTAAGTTTGATAAGATTCGAGACATTTCTTCATCATCTAAGTAAAACAACAAATTTAACATACCTGATTGTCTAACAGTGGTTGTAATAAAGCTCCAGCTGTTCCTCCAGCTCTGAATTTTGAGCTTTCATGATGACCGATTGGATCGTAACTGTAAACCACTCCTTTACCATTATCATCTATTCCAGCAAGAATATTGGCTACATAGTATGGGAAAAAGCGTTTATAATAAAGTAGTACAGAGAGCATTTGGGCAACTGCTGGAGTGGACATAACTTTATTATGATCGTACTGATACATCTAAAATAACATTTTTAATTAATAAAACTTAAAAGATTTAAAAATGGAGATAAAGCATGTTCAATTAAAGGCATAGAAACATTTACTTTTATCCGGGTTTGAACAAGCCTAGTAAGAGAAAGAACATCACACCAACAACCAGTACTACCAAGAATTGTTTTATCAGACAATTTAAATAATTTGGACTGGTTTCTGGTATAAATTTGAAAACCTGTACTTAAACGTGTATCAGATGCTATAATTGCGAAGTCATCGCCAGCTACAGCTACTACACTCCTGAAAAATAATTATCTTTGTAATTTTGTATAAAGACATCAAGTTTTAAATGATAGACAAATACATACCCTCCATTTTCAGAATATGGACTAAAAGAAGGCGCAGGAACGGTTCTGTAATCAGATAAGCCACCATAACTTCTTGGCATTGCCATTTTAAAAGAAATAATTTCAATAAACAACTAAGCCACCCCAAGAATGACCAACGTTTTCAAATATAACCTTTCTGGAGGGGATGACTGAGATCGTAATGCCCTCTGTGGATATAACATGTACTACCTAGATCAAATTTGAAATCAGAAATTTATATATTTTTTATTACACTTTCATTTTATAAAAATAAACTTCGAAAGAATATATCATATTATATATTTACATTATATATTAATCATGATAGATTCTAACATATTTTAAATTAAATTTATATGATGATAATTAGCAATCAAAATTTACTTTACTTTTTCATTTTTAAGGGAAGACTATTATAGAAAAAGTGAAATTATGGTATTCTTCACTCAGAAAATATTTTAATAGTCTTTATTTAAAAAGAATTCTGTTATTATAACTGGTATATATTAGCACCAGAACTGTTATAGGGGAGGGGTTGTGATCAATATAAGGGAGTCAAACTCTATCATTCCTACCCTCACAACCTATTTTTGTTCCACATGTAGTTTTATTAATTTCAAAACCATTATAATATTTACATAAAATGGCAGACAGTGAATTTGAGGAATTTAGACAACATTTTGAAAGAGTACCACAACATATTAGAGCTACTGTTCAAACTTATACGTGAGTTTGAGATAAATATTTTATAAAAATAAGAATAAATTAAATATAATAACTTTAAATAAATAAAAAATCGTTGAAATATATATTTTTCAAATATTTAAAAAATTTATTTCTGGTGTATTTTTAAAATGACGTGAAATTACATTTACTTTTAAATTAAAATTATTTATTTAATATTCTAAGCATTATAAACTTTACAAATAATAAGAAAATATTTTAAATTTCTTTCAAAATTTGTAAAATATAATTGTTAATACAACCAATTTGAAATCATACTGACCTTTAGACTGGTACCTGACATTTTGCTGGAAGACTCCCCGACTTCATCAAAGAGCAATGATTCTCCTGATGAAAACATTTGTATGCAGGTACCAGCTGGAAATGAAAAAGGAGATTATGGAGGGAAAATATTTCATGAAAGGCAAGTCACGCTTCAATTTAAACTATTATATTTTATTTCAGTGAGATACTAAAAATTCAAGGAACAATGATTACATGTTTGTATTAGGGGATGAATATCACTGCTTTCCCTTTTATTATTTAAAATAAATGTATCTCATCAGAAAGTAAATTTATATCCTCATAATAGAGTAGAACCCCAAAACATGAATACCTTAAATTTATTTTAAATAAAAAATAACATACACGTGGCAGGGAAATAACATTCACACACTAGTACAAGCACATTATTTTTTAAGTTGTACCCTTGAACTTATTTTTATGTGGTATGTAAGATCAAAAAAAAATTCAGAACTTCAAGAATTGTTTTACAACAAATTACAAATAATAAAAATTTAAAAAATAATTAAACAAAATATAAAAGAAATTTAGCATAAAAACTAATAATGTTAAAACAGATTTCAGATTAAATTTGATTATTCTTTAATGTAATTAAGGAAGAAAAATATATTCCATATTCTTTAATATAAGTAAATGTTTAATAATTTTGTATTCAGTAGTATATAACTAGGAATGATTGCACCCCAACGTAAGAGGGTTTTTGCGCCTCCAAACCCTTAAGAAAAAAAACTTTATTTTTATTCTTTAATTACTTCTTTACTTCTAAACATATCAAGCAATCTTCTAAAGAGAGAAAAATTATATTCTAAATAAATAATTCTTTCTAATTTTTTTTTTTTTGGCTGAAGTACTTTCCAGTACATCCATTTATGATTGGTTAATTACAATAACAAATTAACAGCAGATGAGCTGGCATAAGTAACAGATAAAGAAAAAACAAAATAACATAAAAAAGGCTTGATAGGCATGAGGAAAAGTAGTACTCAGAAGTACCCCTTCCGAAGCATTCATTTACTTAGGTAGTTAAGTAAGTAGGTCCCTCATTCAGACCCTTTTTCAGCCGTTTTCTAATGCTCTCCGGGCATAATAACTGTGGCCACTTCTTTTATTTGTTGGTTGGTGTTTTGCGCTTAATTTGGAATGTCGTCTTAACAGCGAGTGTAACAATTTTAATCTTAGATTTAATGTGACTACTTTTTCTTTACATGTGGACCCCATGTCATCCCTCCTATCAAACATCAGGCCTAGGTATTGTACTCTGTCTGTTTGTGGAATTGATATGTTGTCTAAGTATAATGGAGGACATGTTTCTTGTCTTAGAGTAAATGTGATGTGTTCTGACTTTTGATCATTTATTTGAGTTTTCAAAGTATGCACCAGTCAAGTATTGTTTGTAACGGATGTAGGTTGAGTGATGACTGTATAGGGTTTTCATGTCTAGTAATAATAACAGTGTCCTCTGTATAGGTTGCTGTATGTATGGGTGTGGATAGTTTGAGGAATGTCAAGTGTGTATGTGATGTACATCAATGGGACAAGGATTGATCCCTGAGTAACATCGGATTAAATTGGTCGAATTGAGGAGAGATCTGAAACACGTCGAACAGAAAAAAATCTGTCTTAGAGGAAAGAATAAAGAATTAAGTAGTAGGTATGTGAAAGTGTGGTCTTAAGCTTGAAGAAAACCCCTTAAGTACTTGGTCAAAGCCATACTTGGTCAAACGCTTGGGCAACATCCAGAAATACTCTGGTTGCATATAATTTCTGCTCTAGTGCTGTTGATATGTAGTCAGTCACCCTTTGTAGTTGTGTTGTTGAGTGTAATTTTTGAAACTAAAATTGATTTTTAGGAATAATGAAATGAAAATATATTTTATTATTCTGGGACTGTTGTCCCTTTAGAACAAATTATAAGTACAGATTGGATGTCTGTGTGTTCATAAGTAAATTATATATTTACAATAAGAGTTGATTCAAAATAAAAATATAGAAGAAAGAGAAAGAAAAAAGACAAGAAAATTGTACATATTATATATAAGACAGACATAGGAATAGCTTCTTGACCGTCTGTTTTGTTTGAGTTGAGAAATATTTGAGATTGGTATAGATTATGTTGGTAGTTTTTGTTGTGGTGATTGGTGATTGGCATTGGTCTTTTACAACCATTTATCAACTCCCAGGAGCCGTCATTATTGTTTATTTCACTATAATGGCAGTCCATATTACTTACTTCATTTTGATGTGATTTCACCATGGTGGTGGAACTCACTCAATCATTTTATGTTCCGAGTTCAGCTCTTATCATTTGAAGAAACATTTTTCAATAAAAATAAAATGTTACATAACAGTTAAATTAATTAACATAACACAACAGTTACATAAACTAACCTATGAGATTAATTAACATTAATAGTTGTCGATAACTATTCTAAATGTGTTCATCGGATCATAGATTGATTATTGATGATTGATTTGGAAAAATTGGGGATTAACTGAAAAACTTCCAAAAATATTTTTAAGGTTCGTTTATATAACGTTTCTGTATATCAAGATAGTAGTACTTCATACAAAGACTTACAAAAAAAGTTATATGTTTTTCATATACTGAGAAGATGTGAAATTTATATATATTTTTTATTTCATTAAGTTAGTTCAGTATATTATAGACAACAAAGAGTCCTTGAGTAGATTAAATTTTAGACTCGGCAGGCATTGTTGTTCTAAAGGATGTTATAAATTTTATTTCTTTAGAGAGTTTTAACAGTTCCATAAACATCAAAATTATATCTAAGAAACTGATGTCTTTGATTCATTAAGCAATTAAAATTTAAATTAGAAAATAACATTTCTTATAAATTTTTTTTGTTGGAAGATGTGATACTTTGAGTAGTGAGGGTAGCCCAGAAAGTGGAGATGGGGAACCTTGGCAAATACGGCCTCCTACTGGAAGACGGAGGAGAAAGCTACCAGAAATACCTAAGCATAAAAAGCGTAAGTGTAATGTAAACTAATATTCTCATAGTTTTGCCTTAAAAAATTAATTAAAGCTGTACCTTTTAATCACATGAAGGGTATTAGGTTCAATAATATATGGTAACATGATAATATAATATGGATATAACATTCATGACCAATGGTTGTGCAAGGATCTTGTGGTTCTTGCTCAACCACTAATTTCCTCCCCTTCCTTCCGTTAAGGATGTAGAGGCTGGGTGAGCAACAGAAGGGCCTCCTAACCCTGCGATAGATTATTGGTGTTTTAACGGAATAAATAATTATCTGCCACAACCAGACTCAAATTAGGACTCAAGAGTTAAGAGTCTAATGCCATATAAGGATCAGATTGAAGCATTACAAAGCTATACCAATTTTTTTGTAATATCCTATTTAATAAATCTATCGATAATATCAAATCCCAATTTGAGTTTGAAACTGACGTCTAGGAATCAAAGTGATGATTAAGGGTTGTATTAGAATGAAAATATTAACATTGTACTTTGATAAAAAATTATTATTGAGGAATCATCTTTATTGCAAACATTATTCTTCCATAACAATTGTTAGTATAATGAAAGATATTAATCAACAATAGGTATGGTTGTACTATTTTCAAAACTGAACAATCCAATTGATAATTTTTAGTATACCCCATAACAATGCAATTGATATTAGATGTATAAAATACTGTATTATTTTATAACCTGTGCAACCTGTAGTATTTGTACTGATTACAAACACTTCTTGTAATCAGTGTTTTATTTCGTGTGTGTAATGCCATTATATGTGCAATGATAAAAATAATGCTTATTTCCAAATTATTTCAAACAGAATGGGAATGTATAAACGTTGACTTAGACTGCCAAATTATCTATTTTACCAGACACCTCTTGACTATAAGGCGAGGTCTTAATCTATGGTCTAATTTAGTTTATCTCTTTCACAAATAAAGAAAATATTATTAGAAATTGAACCATTTCACTTTCTTAAAAATCTTTCTTAACTATAAATAAAGATAAAAATTAATTAGTATTGCCAACATTTTTTAAATTGATTTTCTGAAAATTTAAACCAATTTATTATTGCTGATATAGCTGAAGCTAAGTTAAATGTTGAAAGCTATAATATCAAATATGTATGTATTTGGTATTATCTTTGTACATTTCAATTATTTTCTGCTCAAAGTAATTAAGAATAACTATATTAATAAATATTATAAACCATTACAAAAATATTAAGTTAGAAAAAATGCTTTGTCTATTAAGTTTAGAAGATAAGTAAATAATATTGAACATATTTAGGGATTATTTTATGTCATTTAAGCCAACGAAATTTAAATTTAATTATTATATTCAAATTAAAGATAGAGTGATTTCTTAGGCTTTAATTATCATTCATTTTCCTGAAGTAAATGAATATTTAATATACTGTTCGTCTCATGAATTATATTACATTTTTGATATATAATAAATAATATACCATTTCAGCATATATGACATCATTAGCTGATGAACTTGGAGATACCATAAATGTAAATTTTGAAGTTGGAGGAGGAGCTCATCCTCGAAATTTGCTTATGATGAAATATTTACGAGATGAAGATCTATACAGCTGTGATGTTGATTCAGGAAATTCTACTGCACATTCTCCTGATGGACCTAAGTCCACTTCTCCACTGCCAATGAATATGGGTAATATACTTTACTTAAATTTATATAAAATCAAAATGAATATTTTTCAAATTATGGATTTAATTTTTAAGGATCAATTACACCAACTTCATCTGAAAGCTGCAGTTTACCCTGGTCCCAACTAGAACTTTTTGAAGCAACCCACAGGGGTTTACACAAATTTGTACCTCGACATAGAGATGAAATGGAAGTGGAAATAGGAGATCCAATTTATGTTCAAAAAGAAGCTGATGATCTCTGGTCTGAAGGTAATTATTCAATGTAATAGCCTTTAAAATAAGCGCACTAAGGTGTATTAAGTCTGATTGAGGTTTAATATAAGAACATTGTTCAGTGTTAGGTACCTTAACTTCGTATTAACCCAAGTTATTCATTTTGATGCCATTTTTCTGATCTGCCTTCTCTCACTTTTTAAACAATATATCTATTAACATTTTTAATAATAAATGATATGTCATCCACATCCAGAGTCCATAAAATCTTATCAAAGCAAACAGGCTCGGTCATTGGCACGGTCAGGGTTGAAGGAGGTAGCACCTACTCTGGGGAAGATACTCTGGAGGCTCTGTTCATTTTCCTGGCTGCCTAATTCTTGATGAGCATATAGTTAATTGCTCTATGGATACTTACACTTATGGTAAAGACAAGTGGGTTGAAGCCAAAAATATTGCGAATTCTTGGAGAGTTGAATGGGCGATTAGTTCCTTTGCATCGTTCAAATCAGTTGATACTGATGGGATCTTCCCGACCCTTTTACAAAAAGGCTTACCTGCGATTAAACCCTATCTTTTGGAGTTATTTAGGGGTAGTTTAGCACTTGCATATAATATATCCTTAATAAGTGGAGGGAAGCAAGATTTTGCTATATACCTAAGCCTGGGAAAGAGTCTTATGACAATCCCAAAGCATAACGACCTATATTTCTGACTTCTTTTCTGCTGAAAGTGATGGAAAAGATTATGGATAGACACATAAGGAACTCTAAGAAAGACCGCTACATTGCGCCCAATTTGCCTATTAATCCTGTGAGACAGTGTTGCATACTTGGTCTCTAGAATCAAGAAAAGCTTACCACAGAAAGAGATTCTGGTGGGTACCTTTGTTGGCATTGAAGATGCCTTTGATCGGACCCCATATGATACAATGGCTAGAGTATTGGAAAGTAGAGGGGTCGGGCTCTTGGTTTTGGAATGTATTAATTCGGTTCTGAGAGGGAGTCCTTAAGTTTGAGCTGGAACAATCCGTACTGTGAGTTAAACCTCTTGGAGGCTGTCCACAGAGGGATGTGTTGTCTTCACTTTTGTGTTGTTTGGTCATCGACTCCCTGATTGTTAAATTGAATGCTGTGGGATTTTATTCTCAGGGATATGCTGACGAAATTGCTGTACTGATAGAGGGCAAATTTCCAGATACCATTTCTAGACTGCTTGAAAACACTATGGTACTTCTGAAAGAATTGTGACAGGATAATAGCCTTGGTTTAAATATGCAGAAGATAAAGCTGTGTATCTTTACTAACAGAAGGAATATCAATATTAGACCACCATCATTAAATGTGTTTACATTAACTATCTGTAGTGAAGTATATAGTAAACATCTTGGGATTACTCTAGATAGTAACTAGCTAAATCATATTGAAAAGATTAGTGGTAAGGCCATACGCTGTTTATGGGCGTGCAGAAGAGTTATTGGCAAATCGTAAGGGCTGAAACCCAGTATGGCCTTATGGCTATACAGAACTGCGGTAGAACCCTTAACCCTCTATGTGACTGTTGTGTGGTGGCATAAGGGAGCTGTAAGCAAGCCTAGAATACTGCTTTGCAAGCTTCAAAAGCTTATGTGCTTTATGACGACGGGAGCTATGAGCACTAATACCAATACTGCAATGGAGGTTCTTTTGAATCTGACACAATTGCATTTAGAGGTGTAAGCACATGCTCTCAGAACTGCCTATATATTAGATACACTTGGAACGAGATCGAAATTCCTGAAATTTCAGGGTCATGGGATCATTTTTGATAGGATTGATAGCAATGAGATGCTTGTGATGAACTCTGACCTTTAAGTTGATAATTATAGAAATATATTATATAATTTAAAGATAGGCAGGAATAACTCACATAGACCATATAATGGAGTTAACTGTTATACCGATGGATCTTTGATGGAGCAAGGATTAGGGACTGGCATCTGGAGAAAGGATAAACCTAATGAGGGAATATTCATATCTCTAGGTAGATATATGACAAACTTTCAAGCTAGGATTCTAGCAATCGACTCCTGTACTCAATCTCTTACAAAGGAGGGCATTTTGAATAGATTGATAACAATATATACAGATTGTCAAGCAGCAATTGGGGCCCTGAATAGTTATGCAATATGCTCAAAGTGGGTGGATGGTAGTAAAGGCAATCTTAACCTTCTTTATAGCACTAACAGGGTGAGGGTAGAGTGAGTACCTGGGCACTCAGTCATTCAAAGAAATGAGAAAGCCGATTGCCTTGCAAGGAAATGCTCTGCACAAGTGTCAGTTGCACCAGAGCTCATCTATGGGATAAGCCTTGGCTTTGCCCTAAAGGAATATTAAGGCAACCACGGGTAATCAATTTATGCTACATTGGGAACAGATGAGGAAACAAACTCGTTTTAAAATGTTCCTTGTAGAGCATTGTCACAAGAAAAGTAAACCACTTCTTCCAATAGACAGGAGTACCATTAGGTGTGTGACAGGATTGTACACTGGTCACTCTCAATTAAAGAAACACCTTTTTAATATGGGTGTAAGTGAGATCTCCACCTGCAAGCTGTGTGGCCTGGAGGATGAACCGGCCCTAATGAAACATCACATTATTTGTAGATGTGATAATTTGGCTAGACTGCGATACTTTCACTTTAGATGTGATCTTATCACTGACCCTAAGCACTGTGAACGGATTGATCCTATTAATTAATATTAACAGGTTCACAAAGACAACCGGCCTGTTTTAATTGAGTCTAGGATGACGCACAATAGGCCTTCTTCAGGCGGCGGTGCACTCTTATGTTAGGAAAAAAGAACATTTTTAAGAAATGTTGAATTTTTTATATGAAATAGATGTAAATGCTCTTTGTAAAGATTTTGAAATTTCCATTATTTGTATTGTTTTCTCTTAAGTATCTGGCGGAGATTCGCAATTCCCCATACTTAACTTATTAATTTTTCTTGGATCTATTTTATTAAATTATCTCTTTTTATTGGAGGGGGTGGTTGTCCCCCTCATCCCTCGAAGTCTGCATTTATAATACAGTTCATCTTAATCACAAAATGTTTAAATTGCTTTCAGAATAAACATTTCAATTACAAAATACTTATGCTTCATGAAGTGGTGCTTTACAAATAATTTCTTAAAAAATAGACTAATACCGATGAGGATAAGAGTTATGAGATTAGAAGACAATGGATATACTTTACAAAAATAGAAATGAATTATTTAATTTAATTAATATTATGTCTAAATAATGTATAATAAAAATGCTTTTGTCAAATTCTTATATTTTAAGTATTCCTTAAGGTATTTCGTAAATTGAATCCTTTAGCCCAACAATCACCTTGTCTGATTGGTTTTTGGCTATGAAAAAAAGCTCAAATGTTTTAGACTGACATTACTTTGCTCATAACAATTATGATGGACCTATATGATTTGCTTTATTGCTTGCCTCTTTAAAGATGAGCCTGATATCACCATACCTATACAAGCAAATATGGAGCATCAGAGACACTTTATTATTCAGCACATAGATGACTATAGTCTTAGATATATCACAAAAATAAATAAATTCAATAATTATTATACAATTTTTTTTTTTAGTTGTTAGTATTATTCAATTAGTATTTATTAAATAAAATAATAAATTAATAGTATTACGTTCATTAAATGTCAAAGTTATGTAAGATATTTCATAATTGTTGGTTATTCCACCTATTTGTTGTTCATGTATTAACCGAAATTTATTATTTTTTATTAAAGGAGTAAATCTCAGAACAGGTCGCCAAGGAATTTTTCCTTCAGCATATGCAGTTGATATGGAGTACAATGACTTTGACCCAAGTGCACCTAAAGTAAAAGTAGAAAGGTTCCTGCTTGGATATCTAGGATCAGTAGAAACTCTATGGCATAAAGGAACCTCTGTCCTTTGCCAGGCAGTGAAAAAAATTATTACCTCTAAACATAAGCCTCATCAGTGTATTTTAGAAATTTCTGATCAAGGACTCAGGATGGTCGATAAAAGCAAAAAGAAGGTTTGTATGATTTGACAAATTTTTAATTTTATTAGTATTTCATAAAGATTAAAAATTTTAAAAACCACCATTAATTTTATGATCCATTTAGAGATCTCCCAATATATTAAATACATAAAACTGTAACAGGTTTCATTTTACAAACTTGAGTACTTTGAAAGTGCTAAAAAAATATATATATAGTTATACTGCATTGAACTGATATATAAAATCAACTTTATGTAGGATTTGTTTTGATCATGCTTAGTTCAAGTCTTTATTTGTTTTTTCCACATAATTAAATAAATCTACTTAATATTTAAGTAGATAAACAATAATTGTTTATTCCCGTTTCTTATATAGACATGATTCTCTCATCAGAATTATATCTGATATCTATAATTTTTTAATTATAAATAATTGCAAGTGATTTTATTTTTGATTTCTTATACTTAACATAATTTTTGTTAATTTGTTTCATGAAGACTTCTGCTCCATGTCAAGACTATTTCTATTCATTGAAAAATGTGTCATTTTGCGCGTTTCACCCCAAGGACCATAGATATATGGGTTTTATTACTAAGCATCCAACCCTTCAAAGGTTTGCTTGTCATGTCTTCCTTGGCTGTGAGTCTACGCGACCTGTTGCTGAAGCTGTGGGGTATTATAAATATACATTAATGTTTTAAAATAAGATTATATATATATATTTTAAAGATACTTTATTTTTTGGTAACATTTAATATAATGCTGGCTCCAAGATTTGCAAATAATTTTTTAGAAAAATCTCTCATTTATTTAATAAAAACATTAATTTATACACAAATAAAAAAAAATTGCAAAAAAGCCAAACAAATAATTTTCCCATAAGGAACTTCACATACAAAATGAAAAGAATAAAGAGGGCAGATTCTTCTTGTAGATTATTTAAAAAAAAAAAAAATTAAAATTAGTAATTACTGTTTTCTTTCAGTTTCTCTTTTCTTTCAGTTTCTGGATCCCCTATGTACTTACTATTTCACTTACAGTTTTGTTTATTCGCAATCTGGTCTATTTTACTCATTTGTACAAGTACTACAGTTGAGTGCTTGTTGCTTGAATCCAACTCTCCTGATCCTACAATTGATTACATAGGTGTAACTACAAAAACTCCTTTATGTTTTTAAAGTTACATAGAATAAAAATTCTTCCCATATTTTTTATATTCGTTCTTGCAAACATTTGTTTTAAATGTTAACTTTTGCGATATTTTCTTCAATTTAAATATTGATTACAAGCTGTGGAAATGGACTTTTGGAGGAGATGCCTACGTGTGACAAAAATGGATAGAATCAGGAACGAGGTCTTTAGGGACAGGATGGAGATCTCTGTATCCGTCCACCAAAGAATTCGGAGACTGGTATGGTACGGCCATGTAATACAAATGTCTACTGAGTGATGGCCTAACCGAATCCCAGATTGGCAACCGCCAGGAAGACAGAGGCAAGGATGACCCAGGAAAACATGGATACATGAAGTGGAAGAGGAGATGGCTCGCCGCGGTCTTCAGAATGGGGATTGGAGCCAAGCCCTGACTTGAAAGGCAACCCTCATTGGAACGCCTATATAATAAATAATATTAGTACAATTATTAAAATAAATCTTTTATATTTAACATTTTATCAATGAGCGTAAACATTAATCTAAGTATTGTTTATCATTCTGGACGATTTCTTTTTGGGAGAAATTTCTGTTTAATTTTATTGGTATAATTGCTTAATGTTTTAGATACCATAAAATGTCTAATATACTTCTGCTTCACTTTTCTGTATGCTGGAGCATACCTGGATAAAATTGTCCTGATGCTCAAAGATTCTCCCACTTCATACGTTTTCTTATCTTTCCTTCTTTCGCATAAGATAGAAGTTTGTAGGAGTTGATATGGCTGTATATTGTGAATACCATGAAGCTAGAGACGATAAATAAGTCAATTTATTTTTTATAATTCACTTTTAATTTATTTACTGAGAATGTTGCTGGTCGCTTTATTGTAAATATTTATTTTTTATTAATAAACGTACTGTAATTCATGTATTTTTGTATTTGTTTCCAGTCGTGCATTTCAAAGGTTCTACACGAAATTTATTGAGACTGCCTATCCTATAGAAGATATATACATTGAGTAAATTTTATTGTCAACCTGATGTCTTACGACGACAGTGATATATAATAATAGAAATATTTCAATAAAGTTGAAATTATGGCTGTTGAAACTACAGCTCTCTTTCTAGAGAAGAAATTCTATTCTTTCTACTGAAGCTGAAGGACTTGTTAAGGAATTTATCAAAGGGGAGGTTAAGTAGATGCAATGATTATTCAATAGTTTTATTTATTTATTTTTTAGACATACATGCTTATTTTGACTTGTTTTATTTATTTTTAATTTAAAATTCTGAAAATATTTGCTCTGAAATTGTTTTCATTATATTCAATTTTTATTTTGTGGCACAATCAAATTAAGACTGGAACTTGGTTCATGATTTATTGTTTGATTATGGTATTTAATCACTGTGATCTGTAAATTTGATAGATGGAAGAAAATTTGGTATAAATTAGATAAAGACTGGATAAATATGCTTGCAGCCTTTCAAATATTTGATGAATTTTTAATCACTAAGCCTTTAAAATTTAAGCAGGAACAGGTTATATATTTGGCAGGTTTTGTATGTCTTTAATCCTGATGTTTTAATTAATATTTATCTATTTACTAGTTAGTGCCCACCTAAGGTATTTGAGCCATTTGGTGACATGTTGACCAATAATGACAGATATTATTAGGTTGTATTTGATTAATTTAGTATGCTCTTTCAAAACACTTGTTCTGTAATAAATCAAATAATAAAATTTGAATTAGCAAGTTCCTTAAAGAGATTTATCTATTTGTTATATCTGGTAAATATATTTTTTAATGCAAATTATTATTTATTACTTGTGAAAATTATTGTGACTATACTTTACTTTCATGATCTCATTGCAATATTTTGAATAAATATTATTAAGAACTGTAGGCTTTATATTTTTTAACAATATTCTCTTGATTAAAAATTAAAACCAGTGACAATAAGGTGATTTTGTAATAAAGTAAATCATACTTTTACGCTTAAATGATTACATATATATAACTACTTGTAACCAATTATTTATATGTCAATGGAATCATTTGACAATTGTATTTATAGTTTGATAAATTTTACACAATTTATTTCCACCAAATAAGCCACCAGTTAAGCAGGAGAATAGTCTAAAAAATTTTAATGTACAAAAAATTTCAATCTGTTGATCTCAATGGGAAATAAAATTATTTATAATATTAAGAAATATTTTAGCTTTTGCTACATTATTTTCACAATCTATGGTAACTATATGGTGGAATAATAATAACTATTGACCAATCTTCTTAAACTGATGATCGTCATAATCTCCTTAGTATTTTTTAAAAATATTCTAGATCACGTAATATAAAAAATCAATATTTTTAAAATCCAATAGACTTTCCCATTTTTTTTTCAATATTCTATTACTTGATTTAATTTTTAAATTTTAATGAGTCATTTAATTTTTTTTAAAGCTATTATTTTAAATCTAATTAATAGACCACTATCATTTTGTAAACACTTTCTGATTTTAAGATGGGACAGTGGGCACTTGCGATCAGTAAAATTAGAGGCTATGAAAGTAATAAGTATAGTTTTAGCATTTTAATTATTTACTTTCCCCCCATTGCCATGAAATACTGAGGAAAACCATTCAGATTTCATTTCACCTATATTGCACATAAGTGAGTCTGGAATAAATGTTTGAAAAATATTTTGATTTAAATTTCTATTGCTTCTTTGAGTCATAGAAAATAATTAAAAATAAATTTTAATTTTAAAGTAAAAAAAATGATTTTTATATTTAAGTTTAATACATTAAAAAAAAAATACTTTTGTGTAACAGGACTTGCAGTAATCTGCTGAAATTCTTAAAGTACTAGATATTTTTATCTTTTATAGAAACAACTTTTAAAATATTGCTAATAATATTATTACGCTTTATCTATCTTAGTTTTTAAACTAAAGTTGTAGAGAAATATATTCTGTGGTTTAAAGAAGTAATAGATTATTAGATAGATGAATTATAGATGCCAGAGTTCTACGAAATAATTTTCCGTACATCTGACAACTTTTTACCTACATGACAAAAACATATACATGTATAAGTGTACATAGAAGTTAATCGAAAAAAATAATGAAAATCCTTAAAAATACATTTTTTAAATATAAAGCTGGTAATATTAATTTTTTATTCTGAAATGCTAAATTAAAAATGGTGAATTAATAAAGAAATAAATAAATTAATAAAAGATATTATTTTTATGAAAGTAAGAGAACCAGACTCACTATTGTGGCATTAAAGTGTGCATTGTATGTAATTAGTGTTCTATCAATATCAGTTATGTCACTGTAAATAATTTTACTGTTAGAGCTGTGAAATAATGTAAATTATTATTTTTATTACCAAGCAATGTAAGAATTCCTTCTAGGATTTTTATTTGTCTTTAATATTTTTAAACTGTAATTATGTAAATAAAAGAGTAATTAAAACGAAAAACTTTTTTTCTCTAGCAGTAATTTATAAGTTAAATCTTTTTACTTTTTAGGTTTTATTTGACTTCATATAATGTAATAAAACTATTAAGGATCTTTGTACTACATAGTAAAAGGTGGTAAGAAATATTCGGATACTGCAAAACATGCCTGTTGCAAAATATGGGATTCCTTACTCCTGATTGGACATATGCACTCAAAATCATCTTGCTTTCAATTCGACCCTAATTGATCTTTCTGAATTAGTTTTGGCATACAGTTACTTCAACATCAAGGACACGGATTTCTAACTATTTAATCATGAATTTCATCAGAAATAGATCTGATCCATAAAGTATCTATTTATTCTTAAAGAATTCAAAGTATAAGATGCTTGGTGTATTCTGTTGTAGTCAGTTTTGTCAGTCAATCTGACTGCTGTCCAGTTTTATGTTTAATCCTTTAGAAACTGGTTGGTATTTACTGATTACTTGAAACTGAGTATTCTGTACTGAATATCCTGACCTTTTAATCTATGTGGATACTGCAGTGAGGTATTATAAAGTAAAATATGAGTACAGCAACTTTTTCCTTAAAATCGTGAATTTTACAGTTTTCTCGAATATGGCTCTAACTGTTTTGATTTAACTCATTAGATCATATTTAATTTAGTTAAGACTGTTTCTTTTCTGAGTTTGTTGGGACTTTAGTTGTGCTAAGGACTTACCTCTTTATGCCTTTAAGCTCACTTAGATTTTTTTCTCATTTCTTGAATATATTTTTTTTAGAGAACGCATTGGCTCTGGTGGTGTTATGAGGGTCATAATATGCCCAGAATGAGTATATGCAGTAGGTATTTTATAACAAAATAATATTACAATGAATAAATAATTAAATTGAAAATAAAGCTAAAATTAAAATAAATCATAAGATTACCAATTGTATTTACCAATTAAAAAAAAAAATCCCAATTATACCAACAAAAGTAAAAACAGGTGGAACTTTCATTACAATAAAATGTTTTCTGTATGTAATCCTGCACTACTCAGTTTGGGGACCCCATATTCTAGCGTGGTCAAGCACCCATAAATTGTGGTCTCATTGTCACTCATTCTATTGATTTCTAGAGTTCTTCGACTTTCTGTATAGCTGGGATACATATTGCTGAGGTGCTTTAGGGTTATTAATAAACCTGAGACTAAGATAATGGAGTTCTGAAATAATCGATAACCAATCGCATTCACCTACTTGGTATAAATGTATCAATGGTTTTGATTTATGGGTGGAATCAAAATTAATAAAATATTATCCAGTGAGTGAATGAAACTTGGACCCATACGTGGGAATCTTCAAACAGTTCTTAAAATTTCCTCTATTTATATTTGTTAAGATAAAGTTTCTTCAATTCATCATCTTCGATTAGAATTTCGTTAAGGTTTATCAGGTTTAAAGATGTATTAATAAGGAGGACGGATAATTTGTAACATTAATTTGGTTATGTTGTTAATGGGCAATCATTAAATCGATAAGATAATGGTGGTTAGGGGTGGTTAGGCTTTTCAATGACTAATCTTAATCTTAAAGGTCTTTATATGAAATTAGTTTAATTATTGTATTTTGCTTTTTACCTTTTCTGTTTAGTTATCATATTTACTTATTTTATTTCCTTGATTATTCTGTTTTGATATTAAAAATAATATTCTTATTTATTGATTTTATTCTTTTTTCTCATTATTTTATAACTTTTATTTATATACTTATTTATAAATATTTTTTTTGACTTTTTTGTTTCATGTTCTTGCCTCTTAAGAAGACTTGAAGGACTGAAATATTTGAATACATAATATACAACATACTTACAATGAGTTTTTTTTGCTTTTTTTTATTACCCCCCAAAACCCTTCCGACCATCATCTAAATAAAAAAATTAAAATCTGGTCCCGCATCACACAAACTTCTCTATTTGGAATTCACACAAATTCTCTACTTTGAACAGAATTGTCTTGTCTATTATTATATTGTCTTGAAAAATTGGACTATGAAAACAAACTTTTTGAAGTATATTTTTAATAAAGATAAATCTTAAAGAATAAATTTGTGAAAACGATCATATTTATTAATGCAAAGAGTCATTGAGACCACCAAAATAACGCAAACCTATTTATTATATCAACGGTTGGCAACAAAAACCTCGTAACACCAACCGTTTATTTGAACCACATAATTCCAGTCTCTGAGCTCTGTATAAAAATTGGAATTTATCTATTAAATCTATGGATAAGTGAGAATTGTATTACATATTTAAAAAAATCTGGTGCATGCAATACACAACATTCACTTATCGTTCTACTTTGAATAGAAATTATTTTCTGGCAATGTTAGGCTATTATAAAATGTTTGAAGTTTTGAACATTTGAACATTTTTAACCAAGCTAAAGCTTAAAGCTTATAGCTAACAGATCATTAATATCATTAAATTGACAAAAATCCGATTTATTATATCAATGGTTGATTATGGATAGTAAGACTATTTGTTATTAAACTGTTATTTTCCATTGCAAAGTTTGCTAAAATAGAATTATGAGATTTGCATTGGCTGTCATAGATAGGTCAAAAGTTGTCACACTAATTGTAAGAGGATGCTGTTGGGATATCGCTAAGAGAAAATTCATCAAATTATTCACTGATTTAATTTTCTAAAAGTTTACATGTGGATTTTTCGGAATGAACGAACCATATATACCTGATTATTTAAATGTAATATCAGATCTAGAGTTCTTAAACTTCAGTAAAAAATATTTAAGGTTATAAATATATCCATGAAATATTTTGATATTTCACTTCTTCTTTCACACAAGTACAATGAAATAGGATTTTAAATAATGACATTAACTTGATTCAGTGGATTTTAAATACTTTTTTCAAACTTAAAATTTTTTTTAGAAGTTTACATTTAGTTATAAAATTTCATTTTCATTTTCCTTAGACTTCTTCATAAACCTACAAGTTCTTGTCCTACAATATCCTTCAATGATATTCCACTTGTTCCTGTTGAACAAATCCGCTACCTAGAACTCCACTTGGATAAATGTCTCACTTGGAATCCGCATACTAGACTGAAACGACAAGAAACTGCTCAACGTTTCCGACTGCTCCAGCACTTACTAAACAAACGCTCTAAGCTTTCAATTAATTACAAAAGACTCATCTACTTAACCATAATAAGACCTATATGTACATACCGAGTTGAGCTTTGGGGCTCTACCAAACCATTGAATTCCTATCGTATCCAATCCTTACAATCCAAAATCCTTAATGACTCATATTTTGTCACAAATAAAACCGTTCATTAAGACCTTAATGTTCCATAAGCCGCTGATTTAGCCCGAGCCAGATACCTATCATATCATTATATACTCCCGTCCCATCCGAATCCATTTGTTTCCAGCCTTGCTTCTTCCTCAATTCCTGATAATCCCCCTAGGCGTCTGAAAAGAAGATGGCCTTGTGATCTTCTTACCTAGAATTAAATAGGGAGTGCTACCACTGGGCAGTATCTCTTCAAGCCTGTTCATGTCATTATTTCTAATGTGTGAATTTTTACTAGTTGTATTGTTTATACAATTGTAAATTTCATTAAATAAATAACAAAAAAAAACCTTAGAAACATGGATTTAGTTAAATAATGTTAGTTTTAAAAAATGAATTTTTATATTTTTTTCGTTACTTTTCGTTAACTTCTACGATTTTATTTATTAGACATTATGTTTGCTGAATTCCCCGTTATTCAACGATATATTACACGTATACCTTCTGAAAATTATTTCTAGAGATTGATTTTCGACCTGGATAAGCATTTTTCTTTTTTTGTCCTTTGTTCAACTATCAAATTCTTTCAAAAGTTATATTCAGCATTTTCATAATTCTTAACAATTAGGGATAGCTAATTATTTAAAATAAACCAAATTAAAGGTACTTTTAAGGGAGGAATACATTTTGAACATTTATGTATTTAAGATCTGTTAAGCGACAGCAATAGGGATAAGACCTAAATTACATTAAAGATTACTTAATTATACATTGATGCACCGAGATTAATCAAAATCGTTAGAGCCGTTTTTGAGAATATCCTAAAAATGTGTAATATCGATTACATAAAGTGCCACTTCCGGTTTACCGATTTCGACAAAGAAGTTGCTGTTACATCTATTTACTTCATATAGTTAAGTAAAAGTAATCTCTATTACTTTTTACATGTATCTAACTCTAAATTTTTTCCTTATAAAATTTACTAAAATGGAGTTACCAGGTTTCCATCGCCTACCATCAATAGGTCAAAAATAATAAACTAATTGGAAGTGGATTATGTTGTGATTTCACAGAAAGAAAATTTCACAGCGTATACCTGTGGGAAAAAAAATCAAGTTAGACTTAACTAATCACGTAAAGTTGTAATGTACTAAAACTTGACCCTAAAATGGAAATCACCAATATGTAGTTTTTTCATCACTTTTTTACTACTACTTACAATGTGAGACAGGTAATTATTAAAAATAAACTTAATAAAAGGTACTTTAGAAAAAGAAACTTTAAGCATTAGGTATTTAAGCCCTGTGACAAGACATCAATGAGGATAAGACCTAATTAATATCAACGACCATTTAATTAATTATTGACATACCGAGATTAATCAAAATAGTTTGAGTCGGTTTTCAGCAAAATCGTAAAAATGTGTAAAATTTCGATATTAAGAGCTGTGCTGGAAAAATTTGTAGTGAAATCCTATCTCAAATACCTGGTTTCAGTTTCGCACGACTTTTCGTTTTTGAGCTAGGCTGTTCCAGATCTGGGCAAAAAGTATTTTAAATATTATTTTAAAATACTATTTTGTGTTTTAATATAAAAAGTATTTAATTTGTTTTCAGAAAATGTAATTTAATTACAAAATACTAAACGTATTTTGTATTTTAATTACAAAAAATGTAATACAAATACAAAATACTTTCTGATGTGGATTTCCGTTGGAAATTTAGAAAAATTTTACGATCTCAATACTTTCCCTTACTATATATCACTAGGGGATCCAGGATTTAATTTTGGGGGGTCTTCAGCCCGAAAGATTTTTTTTTCATATACATATAACGATAATAAATTAGAAACAAAAAAAAGAAATTAACTACCTATATGAAATGGTGTTTAAGTGGTTCTTGAAGTCCTATTGAATGTAATTACATGAACAAGAATACTTCAAGAGATAGTTTTTAATATTTTTTTCTGTAAAACATGGTTATATTTTACCATTTTTGGGGAGAGGGGCTTCAGCCCGAAAGCCCCCCCTCCACTCCCCTTAGATCCGCCTGTGCTATATATTCCATACAATCTATAGGTATGTGGAAGTAAACCAATGAACTATATAATGAATTATATGACAGAGTTATAATTAAAAATTAGAAAAAAAATACGGATCTACGAAAATTTATCTTTTATTTAATTTAAATAAATGATGGAATTAAAAAAATCATAACGCACTTGACAGAATATTTATTATTAAATCACCAGTTAATTTGTATAACAGGTCTAACATAAAACAAATATTTATACGTTCTAAGGGCCAACAGTCCTGATTTCCCAAAGCACTCTCCTGTAGCATCTAGGGCCCTAAGCTGTGGGCATAGAGTCTTTCTTTAGTCTCCCGCCTCTCCCTTCATTACCTCCTCTTCCCAAACGTGATTTATGAAGATGTTGATTTTAATTTGTTTTTTATTTAATTATTGGTTGTTGAAGTTTGATGCGGCTGTAATATCTTTAGTAAAACTTAATTTATAGTTGATTGTTAAACGAGTTTGAAATATATCCCTGAAGTATTTGGATTTAGACCTATTATTATTATTAATTAAATTCTACAAGGGTAGAATATTGCTAACATAAGTGGTAATCGCGATGATAGTACTCCTCGTTTGGTTTTGCTTTGAATTGTAGTATTTGACAAATATTTTTGGAAATCACGTCTTTCATGTTTGTTGAAAAACTTATTTTTCCTCCTTTAGTTTTCTTTTTATTCCAAATTCTCTCACCCCACACAACTGTAGCCCTTGTAATGCCCCGTTTATCCCATTGTAAATGAAAGCCCTTCCATAAATGATACTTGACAGCAAAAAGCATTAATAAGAACCCCTCTTTCTCAGATAGGTTATTACTTACATTCAGTAATAAGCTCAATGAGTAAGGCACTGTGCTCTTATTTTTCCGGGTCCGGATTCGTGTCCGGCTGTGGCAGGTAATTATTTATTTTTTTATATCATTAAGTGGATCGACTTTGAGATCGGAAGCTCTACGAATAGAAGGGAATACGTTCTAAACTCAATGGTCACAACCACGATTGTAACGTGGGTAATCTTATCGATGAATATTTTGGGGTTTAAGCATGGTTTAGTTGCATTGAGAAAGATAATTAAGATAAGCGTTATCGCATTTGTTAGTTTTATTGATGAAATTATTTAAAACTTGTGTAACTTAAATTTATTAGCTAATACAACAGCTGTTATTGTTTGAGTTGAGTATGGTTGAGGCTGTAGGCTGCATATCCTTCAGCAATAAGGTGCAAAGTTCGGATCATACTCTCCTCCGTGGATCGGCGCTTCCTCCTCCTCTTGCCGCTAATGATGGCCGCTGGAGCCACTGTTGGCATCACTGTTATTGGGATCTGGTTCACCTGAGTATTCTTGAGGGATTGGCAGAGCAAGCACAGCAAATACCCTCCGAAGGCTAGAAATGACAGAACGGTCACCGTCGACTGGAATATCGAAGAAACATCTTTCCCTTTACCTGTTGTGATAACAAGTTGAAATGGAATTATTATCATTGAAAATAGTAATATAATGATAAAAGATGGTAATAACAATACTTATAAGACCCTAATAGTCCTATTTATTTCCTTTAGACCAACGTTTCACCCCTTTGGCCATTGTCAAGAGAAGAAACCTATTTTAAAATAAAATAAAATTTATATGGGCTTAATTGCATTGTCTTAATAACAATATTCCATTACTGAATATTATAATAACTAAATAATCAGTAATAGAATATTGTTATTATGACTAGGGCAATTCAGTCCATAAGAATTTAATTTAATATTAAAATAGATTTCTTACCTTGAAAATGGCCTAAGGGTGAAATGTTGGTGTAAAGGAAATCAATAGATTGGGGTTATTGGGGTCTAATAAGTGTTGCTATTATTACTAATACTAAAGACGTTACCAAAAAGTTTGAGACAAATATATTAATTAAAAATGATTTCATACTGCCAGTAGGTGTCAATTATTTCTAATTCATTACAAGCTGAATTAAATTGTTTACGATGTTGTATGATTAATAGAAGATATTATACTTTAAACCTCACATAAAATAAAACCAATTAATTCAATTAAAACATTAAAATGGCCAAGTTCATTCTGTCATATTGTTATAATGTATTTCAGATGAAATAAATAACTAATCTGAATTTATATTTAAAAAAAAATAATGTTGTCTACAGTGACTTAAGCAGACGTTTTCGGTTATAGATTGGGAAAGGATACCACGAATTAATACTATTACGAATTAATTTTTACTATATCTACACCTGAAATGTAAAAATTTGCAGAGGTAATATATCTATCAATCTTTATGGGAATATAATTCTAAAAATTTAATTATTTCGTTGATCTAAGACTATGAAAGAAAATTGGCAAAGAATGTCTGTAAGAAAATCGACTCTGATTAATAAACTATGATACCTCACAAAATTGAATAGTGTAAAATACTTATTTTAAAGTCAATTATATTCAGAATTTAACTTCAATAACTTTCCGCAGGTTTATTTGAATGATTTAATCAATGTAATAGGTTGAAACAGAATTAACTTTCGAAGTAGCTAAGCAGGGTTTGTGAAGGACGGATAACCATAGGAATGAATTTCACCCATGAGGGCAGATTTGAAACATAAGGGAACCATTTATATCTGTTCTAAGTAAATCCAAAATGGTGAAATATGGAAGCTTTTAAATAAGTATATTTCTCCTTTTGTCACTAAGCTAAATTTAGTGTTAGTATTCTAAATGGATCGATATCATTTTATTTATAGCATAAATATGGCATTCCGTTATTTAATTTGTTTATTTTGATTTAATAATAACAATAATATTTTATTATTATATATTGATATATTGATCATGAACTAAGTTAATTCTATCTATCTTTCTTTATCTTCCCCTCTTCCCGTCCCCACCTCCCTCATTTATCCTGCCAGATAACAGATTACAGGGCATTTAATATATTATGCATTCTTGAAAAAATTAAGATTAAATCATTTTAAGCTATTCCGAGAATTTGTAGATGAAAATAAAATTATGAAATTTTTTTAGAAAGATTATAAACTTGGAGAGAGCGCGGAGATAATCATAAGAGTCATTCCATGACAAATCATCCAGAAAAAGTTCTCTTTTTCAACCAACTCCTTTCAGATCTTAATGAAAATTTGTAAATATTAATACATGTCACGGGCGGATCTAAGGGAATGGCTTTCGGGCTGAAGTCCCTCCCCCAAAATGGTAAAATATAACCATGTCGAAAAAAATGATCTCTTAAAGTATTATTGTTGGTGTAATTACATTAAAAACGGCTTTAGGAATCACTTAAACACCATTTCATGTAGGTAGTTAGTTTCTTTCTTTTTTTCCAAAGCAATTATCTTTATTTTTATGAAAAAAGTAGCTTTCGGGCTGAACCCCCCCAAAAGTAAATCCTGAATCCGCTAGTGATACATGTAAGTAAAAGTACCAAATTTTAGCCAATTCTAGCGATTAATTTCTGAATTTTGGGGTTTTAAACTTTTGAAATATTTGAAGTTGGGAAGACATTTTGGGCGCCAAACCATCATGTACCTGTTTGGTTTTCATTTGTAAAATCATAATTTTTCTTCATGTATAAAAAAAATCTTAAACAAAAATTTTCAAAATCATGATAAAGATATATAAAACTACTTTAAACAACATGCAATACTCTTTCAAATGATAAAATAACATTGGAGGGGGCCATTAAGTTTAATGAGATTTACTATAATTTAAATAAATAAAATAATTTCTGTGTATTGCAGTGGCGGTATGGTTAACAAAATAATGTTTGTGTTTATTAAATCGGAGAGCGATTAACTCCTTAAATGTTTAGAGGTAGAGGTCAAAATGTGTTTGGAGGATTCTTAACACAGAATACTTATCTCTAGTCTCTAATCTATGTTTGTCTATTTATTTAGGAATTAAAAACTCGTATATACCCATTTTCTTTCTACTAGTGCTGCACAAATGCGGGACCGAGACGAATCTTGGTCTTGCAAACGCAGTCTTGTTCATGGTCTTGGTCTTGCGCAAGTCTCGCAACAGTCCTGCAGTTGCTTATTAGCTTATCACTATGGAGATATAACTGTAATTTTTGATAGGAGAAACCTAACTAAGCCAGAATGAAAAAGTGGATAGTGTTTAATGCAAAAGTACATTGATTATACCAGTTATTGACATATAATAACTAAGATTATCATGTATTAGTAAGTATTTTGCCGTAATTTTTATTTTAACTTTATTTTAATTCGATTTTTTTTTTACCAGTCCTGGTCTTGGTCTTGCGCTTTGCAAGATCAAGACCGATTTTGGGCAACTTCTACTTGGATCGTAAGATAATTTGAGCACAAAATCAAGAAAAAAGGTGGCCTACAAAAATATTGGGCCGTTTGCCCCATACAACCTCGTTATTTCAACATTTTTAAATAGACAAAGTTTGACTATCACATTGAAAACGCGCCCAATTCTGAAGATTTTCGTAAATAAAATAGTTGTAGGTTACGATGAAATGAAGCTTAAGAAGGATGTTGATAATTTGATAAAAAAGGGACCAAGGACTGAATCTTATAGTTGCTTATTTTTTTCACTTTAAAATTTCTTAAAGAGTACTTTTAGTGTATATCATATGATTATTAACATACATCATATAACATATAACATATATCATATGATTATTATACAAAATGATATGGTATATATTATATGATTATTGTTTAATCATAACCCTAGAAGGTATATCGTGTAGAAGTGAGAATAATACAATTTATAAGACATTATATTATATTCATAGAATAAAACTAATGATGTTAACTTGACCAGAGCCAGCTTTGGTAAGACGAAGATAAGACTAAAGATTATAAAAATAAATTAGGATAGTAGTTAATACTCGTGACTTCATGTGATTATTGGCGTATATCAGTTCAGTATCTAATTTTAATATATTTTGACCTCTATAGTTTTGACTTCTATCTCCTTACCTTCTTCCTACCTTAAACACTTAACTTAATTTACACTCCAATTTAATAAATACAAACATTATTTTGTAGAGCATACAACTACCGCAATACGTAGAAATTATGTTATTTATTTATATTATAATAAATATCGTTAAACTCAATGTCTTCCTCCAATGTTATTTTATTATTTGGAAGAGTATTGCATGTTGTTTGAAGTAATATATGGTTGTATTCGGAGAGAGATTATCGCAATTTATTTAAGTATAATTACTATAGTCATATAACCCATAAATTAAATTTTAATGTGGCCTCAGCCAAACCTATCAAGGTTATCCATTTTTCACCGTATATTTTTTTTAACTGTGACCTTAGGACTTCTTTTTTATGTTCTCTACGAAGCATTAGTCTACGAATATATACATTTCCGTTCTCCATTTTAGGGGTGAAAAAATGCTTTAATATGACATAACATGAAGTATAAAAACAGTTGTCAGAAAACTAATTGAATAGTTAGTTTTAATGTGGGTAAATACGTTATCTAAGGCTGAACCTAATTAGGGTGCGATATCCTCTGACATTACCTTCTTTCTCATGAGACCAAGGGTCGCCCCGGCGAGTTGGTCCGTTCGCTCTCCTCCGGTCCGGTTCTGTTCTGTACGGCAGGGCTGTTTCTTCTTCTCCTCCTAGTTCTGCTGTATCACCTTTATTGTGGCTATCTAAAAACACCAGAGTATACAGGAACCAATCGTATGAAATGAAAGTAAACATTTCAATTGAAATTACATTTTACAGACTACTCAAGTATTTTTTTCGAAAAAAGTTTGATCACCGTCAAAAACGAAAACAGATCACACGGCAGATCAATGAAATTTGCGTCATATCATAACTAACCAATGCAATTCGTACTAATTTATAGTAAAATAATCTGAAGTAATTCTTGTATGATTTAAAATATAAACTCTTAATACTAACATTTAGAATTTAATGTCTGTTTTACATGAAGTAATTTTTCCAAAGGCAGTTGTGCGAGGCTCGTTCTTCTGGCTTCCAAACTCTCTTCCTGGGCCAAGGTGGTGATTAAGTAATGTATAAATAACTGAAATTATAAAAAAATAAAAATAATATTTGTTAATAGAAAGTATAAAAACCTTAGTCAGTGTGTGTATAAGATGTTTTATTTTAAAATAATATGTATACAGGTTGTCTCGTAAGTATAAGGAAGTATTTATCGAAGTGATAGCAAACTACTAGAGCTCACGGACGGAGCTACGGAGAGGTAAAACATAACGATGTTTTATGGAAAAAAAAATAAAAAAATTATCTCTTAAAGTATTATTGTTCGTGTAACTACATTTAAAAGGACTTTAGGAATCACTCAAACACCATTTCATATAGGTAGTTAGTTTCTTTTTTTCCAAAGTAATTATCGTTATTTTTATGAAAAAAAAGATTTCTGGCTGAAGCCCCCTCCCCCCCCAAATTAAATTTGGGCAGAAAAGTAGGAAATTTAAGATTTGTGTGTTTTTTTTTTAAGAAAGTCACGTTTTGGTTGAAAAAGAAGCGATGAATAAAAAAAATAATTGCTCCTCAGTAATATAGACAAAATTTACTTCGAATGGAAGTAGATTTTGTCAGTGTTAAAACTGTTAAAGAGGACTGTTGAGAAATAATAAATTATTCGAGAATTTTTTTTGTCATCCTCCAATCATAGTACCGATAACCCCCCACTTTTAGAAAAACTTGTTTGTTTAATAAGCTTTATTTCCATATTAATTCATTTGAGGTTTATTGAGGAAAAACTTGAGATTCACCTCACAACAAATGATGTTATTTTATATCACATAAAATAAAATAAAATCGATTAAAATCTAAATTTGCTGTCAATTAAGATTCAACAATATATCTATGTGAGTATGTAACCTTGAGAAGTATATGGATTATTCGATATTGTAGAACATCTATCGTTTATTTGTAATATACTTTAAGCTTAATATACATTTTTTAATCTAGTTAGTTCTAGTTACATGTATCATTATCAAATAATTTACCGAGAGATTATTCAATTTATGAATATAAATCTGACTATAACCCTTAAATAAATTTACTTACAAACGGCAGAGAGAGATGAGACGACATTTGAGAATGGTGACAGCTCTGCTTGTGCTGGGGACCGTGTCCTAAGATCCGCTCTTCGCCGGAAGCCGGCAATTCTTCATGCACCAAGACTTTACTCATTAGGTAGAAGCGTCAGATTCCACACTCATTTCTTCCTTTAGTGTTGAGTTTTGAAGAAATAATATTTATAAATATGTTACATCAACCATAATTGTGTTATACTTGATTAAAATGTTTTTACGGATACCTTCGACTTATATGCGATATGAAACATTCCAATAATGAAAGCGTTGGATCTTTTATAGATATTATGAGGGGCCGAGTTTTTATGCAGTAAAAACATACCAAATGTGCGATTTATATAATATGAAACAACGAAAAATATTTGAATTGTAAAAGAACCCGACTGTAAACCGACCGGAAATAGATGTATGCGAATATTTAAACTTGGTGCCTCCCGAAACTTAAGACTCCTCCGGCTGTTGACATGCACCGTTGCATGGGACGAAATCTATTTAGTCCAGTCAATGAATGATTATAGAAGGAAATGGCGGGGGCACAACTTTCACTTTGCGATATTATTTGGGCTAGTAAGGAGGTAAACATACTAAAAGTCCCCACTCCTAGGTGGTGGGCCAGATGTGGGGAGCGCCTAGAAAGTCACTTTTTTCACGTTTTCCCTAATATCAGGAAAATTATCCATCGCATCGAAAAAGATGTCTATACAAAATTAGCGTTATTTAGTTATTTCTTGATTGAAAATCAACCTACAATTCTATTATGAAACTTCATCATCAATGTTCCATGTTAATCAATTGTTACTAATTACTGTCATTATTACTTTCACTTACGTATATATGTAGTAAGGGTAAGTATTGCGATCGGGAAAATTTTTGAATCTGAGTTTTCAACGGAAATACACGTTTCGGGGTACTCTGAGTCCAAATAGCCAAGTCCTACGAAACTGATATTACGTATTTAAGATAGGTATATGCCTTAGATGTGAGAGCAACTTTTTCCTTAAAATCGGCTATCCAGAAGTGTCATTTTATATCAACGCTGAAACACATTTCCACACTTTTCTCAGAAACGGCTCTAACGGTTTTGATTAAACTCGGTGCGTCATTGTATAATTAAGTAGTATTTAATATCAATGAGGTCTTATCCCCATTGATGTCACTTTATAGGGCTTAAATGCCCAATGTTCTTATACGTCTTCCTTTAAAGTACCTTTAATATTGTTTATTTTAAAAAGTTAATCATTTCACATTATTCAAATTTACGAAACAATGCTAAATATAACTTTTGAAAAAAATTTATAAGTTAATAAAGGAGAAAAAAATAAAATAAAAATGCAGAAAAACCTACGTTGTGTTGTACCGATTTCTATGAAACTTCGCTAAAGTCATTTTCTCAACGCTCTTTAAATTTATCTATATAACATACTTCAACGAAAAGAAGCCGGAAAAAAAGTTACAAGGGATGGTAAAATTAAATTCCGAATAACTCAAAAAGTATACACTTTTTTTTGGATGTTATCATAAAATGTTTCAAAGGTATTTAAATTTCCTAAAAAATGAAGGAAGTTTTATCGAAATGAAAGCACTATTAGTAGAGATCTCACGATTTTAAAATATTTTTGGTTTATTATTACTTTCACTTACGTATATAGGTAATATGATCGAGAAATTTATTTAATCTGAGTTTTATTCGAAAATGCACATTTTGTGGTACCCTGAGTACAAATAACCAAGTCCCGAAAAATGGTCTGTGTGTCTGTGTGTTTGTGTGTTAGCAGATTAGCTCAAAAACGAAAAGTCCTACGAAACTGATATTACGTATATGCATTAGATGTGACAGCTACTTTTTTTATTGTATGAAATAGTTCAGACATTTATATATCATAAGTCAGAGATCAAAAAGAGAATTAAAATAATAATAAAGGGGACTGACAAGATTTATTGATAAAGAAGAGATCTTGAAAGAATTTTCGAGATAAACTGAAAAATTTATGAACCGTAGAAATCTGTAATTTAACTTGACAATCAATCTAGGTTTAATAAATATACTGAAAAAGTCACTCAAAACTGTGATATAAGAATTAAAAATTCTTTTCATTTATATAATACTACTTCTTTCGAGACATTACCTTGGAATAACTGCCGTGCCTTTTTCCACCTTAAACCGGCTTAATTACCTCCTTCACATATTTCCATTTGAAATCCGGCCATTCAAAACTAAAATTTTGATAAGTTGCTTTGTACCCTACATTTTGGGATGTGGTGGCTTTAACATTCTTTCCTGAGTATTTCGTGATATATTTCCTCTTATCAGTCCATCATACATCTTCGAGATCATCCAATTCAAATCATCTGTTCGTTTCCTCCAAGCCCGTTCTCGGTCGTTGGTTTTTATACAAAACTAACAACGGCTTTTGACAGATCTTTCATTGTCGCTGTGAAACCCTTCCTGTATCCGTCACTTCAATACACTCCCAATTTTTAAATCACGCCTATTCATCTAGTTTCAAAAAAATTGTAAGTATGTATTTCTGTAAATATGGATATTAATTATTCCTTCTTTCTTTAATTATTATTATCTATTTTAAAAAAAAATTATTTATATCAGAAGTTACCATGTAATTTATTATTATTTCTATTTGGTCATTTATTTTTTTATTTGAGATTATGAAGCCTCCAATTCTTGTATTTTATTCTGAATGCACTTGTCCCAGAATAAAGAGTATATATGACGAATATATCGTCATTATTATTATCTCATATAATAAATTCATTGACTCAAATCATGTCTTCAATTATTCTTGATCAACATTAAAATCTTGAAGCTCCAGTACACCGATTCTAAATATCCTGTCGTTACAAAATCTTTAACATTGAAACATTATCGTAAAATATTTTGAACAGCATTTGTTGCTATTACATCCAGCTGATGGTGCGTTTTTAATAAATATGTATAGTTTTACATTATATTTTATAACAGTGAGAACATTAAACCATTACATAACATTAAAAGCGTATAACATTAAAAGCGTATTTAAATGCCACATTAAGCCAAAATTTCAAGGCATTGGGTGAAGAACTTTCCGAGATTTAAGAGTTTGAACAAACGAACATTTACTTCTTTGCCATAAAATAAGCAACACAAAGTTGGATATTAAACAATAAATTAAAAATTAATAACAATTTTAAAAAATCTTTTATATTTTCTTTCTTTTCGGACTGGCAACTGAGCCACATCAGCGCGTGCCCGGGTAAAGCTAGTAATTATATATAAATTATTCTAGTAAACATTGCTCTGGATCGTCATTTGTATAATACTCTAAAAATGAAACAATAGCTTTATGATTACTGTAAATATAATTGTATAATAATTGTAAATATTGTATATAGGTGTGTATGCGTTCTTTTTATTTATTTATTTTTCTGTGTAATTTATTTAATTTATTGTACATAGAGTGTGAATGTGATCTGTGAACTCTATTATAAATGTCCTAGAGACAGATTGTAATATTTTTCAATAAATAAGTTAAAAAAAAAAATGATTACTAAAATGTGAATACTTTCGATTGAAATTAGTATAAGACAATTATGAATAATTGGTATTTTTTTTTTAAATATATCTTTTGTAAAAAGGGTCAGTAATTTGTCGAAACACTTTCGAGTGCAACAGAAAAACGAATAGAAACACTCAATTTATTATTTTTACTGCTAGTTAAATTAATATATCTGAAATTAATTTTGCGAAGTAGTTTCTGAGTTATCCCTGGTATTTAAATTTTGAGATATTTTGTATCCTTTGGAGCTCGAATACAAAGAGCCTAATATACAAGGCTATATTCGAGCCAATAACGATATATGTCTCGGAGATAATGGTCATCAATGCGAAATAAAAACACCGGAAACGACTGTCAGCAGTAGAGATGGACTCTTGGAGAAGGCTAGTAAGAAAATCCAGAAGGGAAAAAATCAAAAATGAAAGAATTCTGGAAATGATGGAGGTGGAAACAAATTTTACAGAAAATATTGAAAAGAAAAGATTATGCTGATTTTGGCAACTGAAAAGAATGACTCCTGAAAGTTGGCCAAAAATATGTATGGAACTGGAAGTAGAAGGGAAAAGGAAAAAGGGGAGACCAAAGGTAAAATGGAAAGAGGCGGTGGACGAAAGCCTGGCGAGTCATGGGATCAGAGAAGGACAAGCCTTAGATAGAGAAGGATGGAAAAATATCTTAAAGGATATTTAGATCAAGGATAACCACAGTATTGGAAAAGTCCTTAATAAAAAAATAAAAAGGTATGTTCAAAATGTTCAAAGTAATCATTATTATTTATTTTTTGGCGCTATGTTTTTTTTTCTTTTCCGACTCTCTAGCACGGCGTCATGTCAAAATAAAATTTTGAACTATAAAGAGCTCACTATAAAGAGGATGAAATGCTGAAAATTTCCGTCGCTTCCAGTATGCAGGTCCAAATTTTAGTTTTTGTGAAACGTAAATACATTTAAATGTTAATATGGTAAAAAAAACTAGTTATCCTATGTTTTTTACTTTCCTACCTATACTAGGTTAGGAAAATATTGTGATCGGGTCAAATTTTGGTTTTCTTCAGTTTGCCTCTCTAGCACTGTTTTACATTAAGATACAATTTTTAATAATAGCTCATTACAAAGAGGATGAAATGCTGAACTTATCATTTGTTAACAGTATGCTTATCAGGTTTTTAGTTTCTGGGATATTTTATTCCAAATGCAAAAATTTGTCGACTCGAGCCGACTTCCCTCGGATGGGCGTGGCATTCGATGCCCATAAAATAAAGTGTTAAGCGCACCTAAAGAAGTTTTATATTCAAAAAAATTTGGGGATATTTTTTATTGTTTTTTATTTAATGAAATTTACAACTGTATACAAATACAACTAGTAAACATGCAATAATTATAAATAATGATATGAACAGGCTTGAAGAGGTACTACCCAGTGGTAGAACTCCCTAAATAGTTCTAAGTAAGAAGATCACGAGGCCATCGTCTTTTCAGTCGCCTAGGAGGACTATCAGGGATCGAGGAAGAAGCAAGGGTGGAAACAAGGGGATTTGGATGGAACTGGAGTTTATCATTAAAGGATAGATATCTGGCTCGGGC